TACTAAGACTTACTTGTTTTTTGTGAAACACAGCTGCCTGGATATTTTACCATAGTCAATGCAGAGTAGGCAAATATACTGCCCTCAAGCAGGGGAATAACATTTTTTAAATATTTGAGTGCTGAAGAACTAGAGAACCCTAACCCTAGCTTGAATGCCAATTTGGGACTTGACTCTTTTTACTTACGCCTTCAGATTTGATTAACCCTTCTTTGTGCTGAACTTGGGACATGCTTGTCATAAGCTTGACTGTATTGCCATTGGTCTTGACGTCGGACCGGCTTGTCTAAAGTATGATCTGTTGATCTATTGACTCAGGACTATGTGCCTGTCTTTCCTGACTAAATTAAATTGGGACAGGACTTGGTTTTACATTTTCCTGGCTTTAGACCCAATATGGGTCTTAACTGTTTTGATTTGGGATTAATTTGAGTCGGCTATGACTTGAGACACACATTTCTTGAATGTGGAATCGACTGTCATGCTTCCAAAACATTCACAGTCTATATCCTCAAACTTAACATGTAGAACTAAAGACTTTAATTTCTATGGAACAAGGCCATGGTCTTTGGACTTGCCTTTGTTTATTGCTGTTTCACTGTCTTCACCTGGCTTTTAAACTTTCCAAGTATTTGACAAATGAAGATAAGTTAAGATCTGACTTTCTTTACTTTGGACTCAACTTGTGTGTCCTACATTTTGACTGTCTTGGCTTGGGTTTTAATTGTTTGCGATTCTGACATGGTGATATTGAGTTGGAACTTACCCGTCTTAAATGTATGCTGGGTTCACTTGTCTTCAGATCTGTTTTTAGGCTTGTTTGCACTGGCCAACGCTTTCCCAAGTTTGGGACTGGGCATATTAATTAAGACTTACCTGTCTTATTGTTGGCAGCAACTATGTGAACTTAATTCATGATTTAATTGTCATGATTTTTGACTCAATGTGGAACTTTCTTTCTTCAGATGGAATTTTACAATCTGAACTAGTCAGGACTTGACTGTCCTATGTTTAAACATGCATGTCTTAGATTTGGACATGATGTTCCTGATTTAAATTGGAACAGTACTTGGGACTAGATTGGGCCGGTATTACCTCAAATGTATATGATTATAACGTTTTATATCACAGAAATATAAATGAAAAGGATACTCTGCAGAAAAACAAGATTGAACCTCTTTTCAATCTTTCACTATTGGCAATGTTAGAGAACATAGCTTAAAGGTCACCTATCATGCTATTTTTAGGCAATAGCATAGGTCTCAGATATATAAAAATATATAAAAAACATGTCTATGAAGTGTTTTGCTCAAAATACCCAACAGATCACCCATTCTAGCCATGCCTCATATCCCTCTATTTCACTTCCTGTTTCAAAAGTGCTGATTTTGGGTATAAAGCTTTAAAAAAATGTAAATGGATAACAAATAAAAAAGGAGGGGGCTGAGCTCATGCGGGAGCTACTGTCTAAACTAAATACTGCCGTGATGAAACGCCATATCATGGATTATCAAGGATTATTTCTGAAACAGTATGGAGCTCAAAGGCTTTCTCTCTTGCCGGTTATACCACAAGGTGAGTTCCTTTTTATTTCCTGCTTCTTCACACACATGCTCTCCAGTACAGGTTAGCTCTGAGTGTTAGCGATGCTAATGTAAACACCTACCATATTACGTCCAAAACAGTCGGGCATTGTTTCTGATAGCAACGTTTCTGATAGTGCCGTGGGTCCACATTTCCGATATTACGTCATATCGGACGCAAATCTGGATCAGCTCCGTTGTACCCCCGTTTTTAGAGATTTGGGTACGGAGGAAAAGAGAGAGGGTTTTATTTTCTGACGCTGCGTGAGTTCCCTGACACACCGGGGACACATATTTATGTATAAAAGACATCAAAAAGTGCATTTTGCATGATAGGTCCCCTTAAAGAAAGAAAGAAAATAAACCTTTTCCTAAGCTAAAACAGAGTGAATATGATTTGCTGATAGCAGCAGTAATTTCAGGGATGCACTGTAGCAAAGACTACCTTTATTGTATTAATATTGCTGTCATTAAACAAACTGCGGTGCTGTCTGATGAGAAATCCAGTCTGAGAAGAGAAAGTGATGGATTATTGTCCTATTCATGCACTCTGCCTATCTTGTGCTATTGTCATCTCAATTTTAAGTGTGTACTTATACATCCTAGACAACAGCATCATTACACAAAACAAGCTTTAGTTGTCTCATGTCTAGACAGCAGCTCTTTATTAAGTATTCTCCTTGTGCCAGTGGCGAGCCGTGACTTCTATACCTAGGCCCTCTGACCCCCCCCCCCGCCCTTCCCTCGAAAAAAAAGAAAAAAAGAAGAGTTATTACGTCACAGCGTATACTTCAGCGGAATATCAAAACAGCGGCCCGGGGTGCAAAACGCATCAATGACAGCGACCCTCTACCACACAAAACAACACCATTTATATAAACACCTATCATGACAAGGCACCCACAGCCAAGTAACAATTACAAATGAATTAAGTCGGCACGGCGGCCCACATTGAAAATGACTTAGGCCTACCTTTGATGATCAAATCACTTAAACACAAAGTCCATCCTCCTGTCCTTTTGGATGAAGCACTTGATGGCGGGGTCATGCAGCTGATCCTTTGCCACTCCAATTTATCATTGTAACTCAATCTTGAAAATGACTTGGTTAATAATTTCGCAACGATGTCATCACTATCACTGACATGAGCCATCATGAACGAACTTATGCTAATCATAAATCTATCGATCATAAATATATCGATTAGATTTATGATTCGAAAATAATAAAAGTAGGGTAGACATGTGGATATTATCTGGCTGAACAAAACGTGCATTTATCTAACAGGTTCGTTTTCCACAGACCTTATTTCGAGCTATTTTCAAAAATCCTATGGAGAAATCCCATTGCTTTTTTGTCGAGGGAACCCGAGCGCAGCTTACTTCCGGGTGTTCGGACGCGTCACTGCACCACTCTATAACACACAGCATAAACTTCACAGCGGGCGGAACTTGTCATAAAGTCCGCGAAAATAAAGCCCACCCATTTAGAGGGAAGATATGATTGGTCAATTGTACTGTCATTTGACATTACTCTCTCGTTGAGCTACTATAGCGGGCCCTCTGTGAATTTACAGCAGGACCACCAATCAGCTCCTATCTTCACAGTGACTCGCAGAGACGGCTGAAGGAGCTTCTTTCATTTAACCATTCACATTCAAACAGAAACTGAACAGGCAGATTCGAAGGATTTATTTATTTGGAAATGTTAATTTAATTACTATTAAATATTGGAAAAAGAATATTTAAAAAAAACTGTTTTTTAAAGTTTTCAAATATTATTTTTTTGAATATCTTAGGCCTTCAGAGAAGCCTGTCTTTCTTTTTTTCTTTAATGTCACTCTTCACTCTCTGCCATTTTCTTCTTTTATGCTTTTTAGCCAGTTTTATGTGTCCTCTTTTGACAGACTGAACTTTAGTCCTGGAGACAAACTGTGTTAAAGAAAGCACAAAGAATTCCATACAGAAATACACAGAAGTATATGTATGTGTGCTTTAGATTCATGTGTCTTTCCAGGCATGTGATAGTTTAAGTATTTCTCAATGTAGGCATCTGTGTACTTCAGTGTCGATGTGTACATTTTAGAATAAAAATATGTGTTTTTGAAAGTACGATAAAAACAAAGAATGAAGCAAAGAGCTTTCTGTGACTTTTATCTCCCTCTTAATGTCCTATCAGGGGTTTGGGACGGGATGTTAGGTCATTGTTATTGTTGAGCTGAGGCAGCTGGGGAACACTAGCTACAAGGTCATAGGCCATGTGTGCATGTGCGTGTCAGTCTTTGTGTGTTTAGTCTTGAAAAAAGGTCCACCAAAGGAACTGGGCTAGACAGGTCTTGAATATACAAGACTGTTATTATCCAAAGATTCATTCCACTTTTTGGAGAACTACCTTCTTTCACATAACTTTGCTTTTAGCTCAAGCTGGTTCAATTTGTGTGATTACATTTGGTTAAAGGGATAAAAGTATTTTCCTGTTTCCAAAGTAGAAGCATGCACCTATTTTCTAAGCATCTGGTTCGGTATCTTAAGGTTTAACATTGCTATATGAGTGACAAAGAGAACTCTTGTACATGCTACCTAAAAAAAATCATCTTGAAACTTTAACCCTTTATAGAAAAATTAACACAATTAATCACATTACCAATTTTGACCCCAACTCCCATAGTTAAAGCAGGGATGTCTACCATGCATGGCAAAAAAAGCAGAGAAATTGGCAGAAACAACATGTATGGCACTGACTAGAGACCACTGGACATCAGTAAGAACCATCACTACTTCGGTGTTATGGAACACCTAATCCAGGACAAATCTTCTTCACTCATTCTTTACGTGTGGTAAAAACGGAGTAAAAGCATTTTGCTGAAGCATGCGCCAATTTCTTGAAGTTGCTCAGAAGCGGACATGGTCACCACTGTAGGAACAGATAGTGCTAACAGTATGATTGCGGCAGGGATAAAATGCCCTGTGTAGCGCACATTATACAGAGGTCATCACAGTGGCTTTGTCAATGCTTTAGCTACATTTCAGGGTTTATGCCAATCATTTAAAAATCATGTTATAATAAAATATAAAAACCCTTTAAGTACTCTTACCAGTTTTAGCATTTCTTTATTTCAACACCACACATGTATTGGTTGTATCTCCCCTCAAAATACAAGTGAATACTAGTATTTTAAACTTGTGATAAATCATACTTTATCACAGATTATGATTGTGATTAACACGACTAATAATGAACCTTGACATATCTGAGAGAGTAAAAGTAAAAAGCTCTTGTGGGCTGTCATTGCAAAGCTAGTTGCTATCTGTCGCGATGATTTTGGAAAATGGCCTTAAAAAGTGTTTGTGGTGACATTTTCAAAAGCAATGTCATTTCAATATGTTAATGCTAAATCTGTCCTTCATCTGCTCCTAGAACATTGATGAGGAGGACACGCAGTTCATGACCAACTGCCCCCCTGCAGTGACGGAGAGCACCCCCCGCAGACGCACCAGGATACAGGTCTTTTGGACGGCGCCCCCTACTGGCTCTGGCTGTGTTACCCTGAAGTGAGTTCCATTTTTCTATTTATGCTTCTACCTTTAAATAAGATTACATTTTAAAAGACAAGTCTTATTGTGAAGTAACTTCTGCCCAGAAAAATGAAGATGCAGGAGAACTGGATTTGAGGTCTTACAAAGTGAAGGTTTAAATTGAAAGGCTTGGCTAGGTAAAACAGATGATGAAAAGTACAAGAGAATACAAGTATGCAGTCACATTGAATGCCACCATCAATTCTGCCAAACTCTCCTAAGGTGTGCATATTAACTGATTCTTACGCTCCAAAACAAGGGGGAAGCACCTAGAGATTAAAATGGACGTCACAGATGTTAATATCTGCATGGTGTGACCTAGCAGTGATCTCAGACCTACTTAAAGTAATATAAAAAGGACACTGCCTTAAATATGCCTTAAGTCTAATGTTCGAATATATTAATTTGGGGATATTAAAAGATAGGAATAAGCTCATATATATTATTTATACTTAACATTTATGATGCTATTTTTAAAAATATTTTTGGAGATATAAAACCTACTAATTCCAAATCAGCTTGAAGATTCTTAAAAGTTGAGCTATAACGTTCATCACAATCAACATTAAACCACCTTTTGAAGCAGAGACTGTTTGAAATCTCCTTAAAGCTGAGACGTCTAACATTTCAAAGTCAGCAACAACCATAACATCTTGCATTAGCTATGTTGGTAGAAAACCACAAATAAAAAGAGAAGCAACATGATCTTGTGTTTTGCTTTGCATTAAAGGGCTGTTCAGAAGTTAACTGTCAAGTCAAGACATGAAATCAAAGACAGAATTCAAATGATTCCCTGTTCACAGTTTATGAAAAATAAAAGGGGAGAACATGTTAACTGGGATAAATGGCTTTCCTCAATCATGTTTCTGCAAGTGTGAGGAAATTAATATAAATCAATTGCTGCCTTAAAGAAAGGAAACCAATCTAAAAAGTATATGGTGCGATGCGGCTAAAGGAGAGTACTAATGGAAAGTATTTTATAGGTACAATTAAAAACCACATGCATGATCCCTCAAGTTTTATAATCCCACAGCAGCATGAGCACTTTATGTAATGCTTCACATTCACTTGCACAAAAGTAGAAATGTGGAATGCCTCAGTACCAATGAATACTTTCCCCTCCACGGTTATTGTCGTTTTAACAGATAGTTGAACACATAAAGTAAGCTAATGCCAGGTGTTCTTTCAAAGCCATTGCACGCTGTAGCTTCACAACAAAGAGACAGATATTGGGCAGGGGGGCAATTTGTGGTTTAAAGCAGGAGTTACTCTAAACCTGCACTGTGTGTGTGTGTGTGTGTGTGTGTGTGTGTGTGTGTGTGTGTGTGTGTGTGTGTGTGTGCGTGCGTGCGTGCGTGCGTGCTTGCGTGCGTGCGTGCGTGCGTGCGTGCGTGCGTGCGTGCGTGCGTGCGTGCGTGCGTGCGTGTGTGTGTGTGACCTTAGTTGAGTGTTAACTGCTAGTGCTGTGTCTTTCATAGTCCTTTTAAATTGTGACATAAAATGGCTGATAGCGCTTGTTTTCTGTGTGAATTCTAACAGTGGTGTGAAACTAAATCAGTGATTATGCCCGGAATGTTAATGATAGGAATCATAATATTCAGGAGTTAAAGAAGAGTCTTCCTGGCCCAGACAGGTTGATCAGTAGACATTATTCTATATGTAGAGGAGGACATGAAACGATTTGTTAAACTGCAATCCATTCACATTAGCCCTTACATTCACTTTTTATTCTTGGGAAAACAAGTCCTAACCACAGCATTCAACTTTAAAGGGGCCCTATTATGCCTTTTGGGTTTTCCATTTCCTGTTCTGTGCTCGATAGGTTTTTGTGCATGTAAATGGTCTGCAACGGCTAAAATCCCCAAGTTCCCTCCAGATCAAGTTCCCCCCCTGCCTGAAACACCTCAATAGTAGCCCTTTTTTTCCTTCCATAACATAATGACATCATAACGTAACAATCGCTCTTCTATTGGCCAGCGCTCTAACACTTTGTGATAGGCTGAGGGGCGGGACATCTCTTAGCGGTTGACAAATCACAACAGAGCCGGCCAGCTTACCAATCAGAGCAGACTGGGCTCTGGTTTCAGACAGAGGGTGAAAAGAGGTGCTGCAGCACAGGCAGTATGAGAAAAATAAAGAGCTTTTTGAACATCAAAGCATGGAGACATGTCCCAGTAGAGACACTTAATACAAATATGAACCTGGAAATGAGCATAATAGGGCCCCTTTAAGGTTTATTCAGCTTGACGTGACGTCTTATATGTATTCTTCTATAAGCTATGTTTTGGTCTACACTGCCTGTGATCTGACACAAGTTCTTGCATGCAATTTAATCATCCTCCTTTCCAACCCAGTACTATTATCCTACAGGGATTACGTTAACATACTTTAAATTGGCCTTAAACATAGCTACACACACAGATGAAATTCAAAGCCCCCGCTTCACATGCTCTTTTGTTCTGACCTAACGCGTGTGTTCATGCTTGTGCAGGCGGAACATAGGGTGTCAGAACAAAGAAACATACATTCTTTCTGGCATGGACTCCACAGGTGCATGTCTGCTCACACACACATGTACTGTAAGCTCACAAACACTTCCCTTTTGTTTCTTAAGTTAAGTATATTTAGTACAATTATATATTGTCTGATTTTAATTCTATTATCTTAGAAAAAAATGCTCTTGAATCTGTTTGCTGGTCTATTTGGCGTTGCACAAGAAATAGTGCTGCCAACCTACTATCCAGAACTCTGAAATCATTCAACCATTACTATAAATTGGTATGGTAATTTTTAGATGTAGGTGGAAAATTGCATACAGTGCATTTGGGTCTGTGGGAGGGGGGGCTGGTCACTGAGGGATTCCCCGCTGGAATCTGAGCTAAACAGGTTTCTGTTGAACTTGCATGATTATGCAGCGTAAAGAATAACTTCAGAAATACTAGATCTTCTCTTCGGTGGTCCCATTTATCCATGCAGGTTAAAGGCATCAATATTAGATTGAGAGTGTTTCATAATGAACCAAGTTCCTTGTTGCATCTATTCAGTCTGAAAACCCACCTGTTTTTCCTTCACCTTGGCCAATAAACCTTTAGGCTAGGTTTGATTCTTGCTGTTATGAGTTTGTTTCTTCATGTTTAATTGCACTTATTGTAATTTGCTTTGGGTAAAAGCATAATTTTAATAAAATGTAATTGTAATGCCCTTTAACATGGAGCATGTCCATCACCTCCAGCTAATGTTCCTGAAATTGGTTAAAAGGTAAAGGGAGACCTACAACTCAAAATCGATTGGGACTTGTTGTATGGCCCTGAGTCATGTTCTGAATCCCAAAAGCATTTACACAATAATCTATGCCACACCCATACTTAAATGTGGCACGAGAAGCTATACTCCCAGCGAGAGTTGCATATTTCTGTTTAGTACATGCACCATTACCTCAGCTGCTCTGAGGGGGAAAAGAAAGTTTGAACACTTAAATGTAGTGAACTCTGTGCTTAGCCTCTGGACTACAATACTTTTACGCTCATGTCATGATGCACTCATCAATTCTTAATGCTTTCTTACAAGAGCCCAGGGCTGTTGTGGAATTAAGAAAAAATCGATAGGTAGGAAGCTAAAGAACGCAAAAGACTCCAGTGAAAGGAATAGGGGATTGATTTGAACAAACAACTAATGTTCCTACAAATGTAATATTGTCAGAAAACAAATTGCTTTTACAGTTAATACATGATGCAAAGTACAATATGTGCTGTGAGAGCACAAATCATATGTGGGCTCGTGCAGTTACAGTGAATTATTCAGAAACGTTGCCGCTAGCTACTTTTAGACAAATTGATTACGCAAATGATAAACAGCCTATAACTCGGAGAGAACACACTTCTGAACACCATTGTTCCTCGCTCCATTTTGTCCACATTTCTACTTTTTTCCCTTCCTCTTGTTTCCGTCTAACCTCTCTGGCATGCATCTCTTCCTCCTCCTAGCGAGATGCTATACCTTACCTCCACAGTAAACTCACAGCTGTTACTTTTAATTTATCCGCCGCTGCTGTATGACAGATTGCACGTTGCCATCCCAGTGTTTGCTTGTCCAATAAATCCAACCCTGCGAATGGGAACATCTGCTATGCAAATTCACCTCGTATTACTGTTACTTTTGTCTGTCAGCGGCGAGATAGATATTTAGCATTACCTCGTCTAACGTGTTCTGTCGCACTCTATCTTCTTCCATAACTGTCCTCTATGCTGTTGCTTGTCAATTTATCTTTGTTGAGGAAGTATTTCTGTTTCACCCAGGTTGCTACTGGCACATACAGAAGCAAATACACTTTAGTCCTGAAGAGAAACTTTGCAGTAGGTCTTTTCTATAATTAAGCGGACAACATTAGCAACCGTAGCCTGTAAATCATGTCTCTGTCTACTAGCCAGTGGAAAAAGAAAGAAAACATAACTTTTTAGTGTCATCTTCACACCATATCCCACATCATATAGTCATTGGAAGGTATTGCCTCAACTGCACCATGGCAATGCTCTTTCTTCCCCAGTCTCTTTCTTTCTACTCTGTTATCAGTATACTGTATGTTGGCAAACCATAATGTCAAACTCTTGTCTGTCAGCTCATTCCAAGACAAATGGAATGCAACTCCTTATATTGTGTTATGCTCCAGCTCCCTTGAACACATTTCATTCATTTGGGCAAACCTCCAAGGTTGTTTTAAAAATATAATTCCACCTTCAAAATCTGCTATTTCAACATCAAGGCAATTCTCTTTTAGGAAGAGGGGTCACAAAACTGATACAATCTGTGTACAATACGATTTGATTAGTTAATTATCTAAAGATTAGATTTTTCAAATATATTTATTAAGATCGTTTTAAAAAGAAATATGGGCTAAAGGAATAGTGACATATTGTGAAAAAAGCATAACTCTAACCCTAACCCTACTGAGATAAAGAAAGATGAGAATATGGATACCT